CTACCTTTCCATCCACGCGCCCCCACTCCCCAACCCGCTTCCGCTCCCCCCCTCCCCCTACTATTCTTTCTGAAATCTTTCATCATCTTTCAAATTCTTTCAATTTACTTTCACTACTTACCTACCATTACCTATACCGATAGTCTAGGGACTCGTTGTTTCTTTTCTTTTAGATTATCAAAACACTTCTTTTTCACRATTTCCTCCGCCTCCACAATCCGAATTCTTCTCGTTTTTGACATTTCAAACGAAGATTTATCAACCTGAATCCTGTTATTTTCTTTTAAAACTTTTCCCCAGCTCTCCCCCAATTGTTTTGCAATTCCTTTTTCAAAATTTCTCGGCAATTGCTCAAGTAAACTTAAATAATTTCAATTTCAACTTAGCTTTAGTCCATCAAATTCATATTGCGAGGCTCAAGGCCTCGGTAAGCCCTACTGGGCCCTGTTTCAGCAAGTACGGCTGCCCTAGGTGAAGGCGGGCCTGACAAGTGACGAGAGGACTATTTTTGGGTCTTGACGCAATTGGGAAATTCAGGCAGTTGCGCAGCGCCAGTTGGTTGAGTGAACCCAGGCCTTGCCTGTCTTTTTCTAAATGTATCGAGGCATGCTCTGGGCCAGACACGGGGCATGAACCGAACAGGCTGCTGGCAGTTGGACACGGGTAACCACCTCAGGCCCTGTGGAAGATTCCCTGAGACAGGGGCTCACGCACTCGGGGCCTACTGGAAGCTTCCATAGGGAGGCCCAGGCCAGCCAGGCATCCCATGGCTGGCAGCCTCATTCCAAAAAGGAAAGGGTCTGGCTGCATGCTGTGCCAACGCTGCTGCGCTATTTGCTCGCAAGTGCCTACGCACTCACGGGCGCGTAGGGAGGATACAAGCAGCCATAGCCGAGCTGGCCTGCACATAGCTGGATGGGGCGCATGGTGGTCCTTGGGTATACGTGGCATCTGTGTGGGGATCGAGGTTGTGAGTGAAGCATGAGACATACCTGGTGCTTGAGGCGAACGACATTGGCCGAGATCTGCTCGTACTTCGGGAAGCTGTTGACATCACCAGCGACATTGTAGATAGGCTAGATAGGATCTGCCATTCGTAGTCTGGGCGCTGAGCGCCAGATAGGGATTCGACATTGGTTTATGGTGGTATTCGACATTGGTTCGTGGTTGATGATGATGAGACTATTTCAACGTTGTCACTTGTGAGCTTTTGCTGTGCTCTTATTTGGTGGAACTCGAGTTGCAATTTTGTTGTTGGTTCGAGGTGAAGACTTTCTGGTTTGATGTGTATGATGCTGGTTGGTTTCTTGAAGTCGCTATCGTTCATTTTCCTTTCAATATTATTTAATTTAATTCCTTGAAAATAATTAAATTCGTTTTAAATCCATTTAAAATTAATCTGAGTACGGATGCCGCCTGGCCGGGCGGGGCTGGGTGGGCCACCCAGGCAAAATCGGGCGGGCAAAAAAACAGCCCAGAATTTTCTTTTATTTGTTTTGAAAGCGGGGTCCTTCTGTGCTCAGCGAGAGGACCCCGAATCTGCAATAAAAATTCTGGGTTGGGGGGGGGACGGGGGAAGGGGGGGGAGGGGGGTTTCTGGGTGTTGGGAACTCTGCACGTATGTTGCCTGCTGTTTGCTGCATGTGTGATACGAAGTACGTACCGGGAAGAGGAAGGAGAAGAAGATGAGGGGAAGGCGGAGGAGGAGAGAAGAAGATGATGAAGAAGAAGAAGAAGAAGAAGAAGAAGAAGAAGATGGTGGCGGCGGCGGGGCGGTAGGGTATGGCGGCTGCGGCGGCAGGGAGGGAGGTGTGGCGGTCCAAGAAGAAGAAGAAGAAGATGGGCGAAAGAGGAGGAGAGAAGATCAAGGAGAATAAGATGAGGGGGAGGCAGAGTAGGAGAGAAGAAGAAGAAGAAGAAGATGGCGGCGGCGGCAGGGCGGTAGGGTATGGTGGCGGGGTATGGCTGCGGCCTGTGGTGGCGGTCGTACAAGAAGAAGAAGAAGAAGAAGATGTGCGGAAGAGGAGGAGGAGGAGAGAAGTTGAAGGAGAAGAAGATGAGGGGGAGGCGGAGGAGGAGAGGAGAAGAAGAAGAAGAAGAAGAAGAAGAAGAAGAAGAAGAAGAAGAAAAAGGCAGGGCGGTAGGGTATGGTGGCGGGGTATGGCGGTGGGCTGTGGCGGTGGTCGTACAAGAAGAAGAAGAAGAAGATGGGCGGAAGAGGAGGAGGAGGAGAGAAGATGGAGAAGAAGAAGATGAGGGGGAGGCGGAGGAGGGGAGAAGAAGAAAAAGAAGAAGAAGAAAAAGAAGAAGAAGAAAAAGAAGAAGAAGAAGAAGATGGCGGCGGCGGCGGTAGGGTATGGTGACGGGGTATGGCGGCGGGCTGTGGCGACGGTCATAGAAGAAGAAGAAGAAGAAGAAGAAGAAGAAGAAGAAGATGGGCGGAAGAGGAGGACGAGGAGAGAAGAGGAAGGAGAAAAAGATGAGGGGGAGGCGGAGGAGGAGAGGAGAAGAAGAAGAAGAAGAAGAAGAAGGCAGGGCGGTAGGGTATGGTGGCGGGGTATGGCGGCGGGCTGCAGCGGCGGTCCTACAACAAGAAGAAGTAGAAGAAGAAGATGGGCGGAAGAGGAGGAGGAGGAGAGAAGAGGAAGAAGAAGAAGATGATGAGGAGGCGAAGGAGGGGAGAAGGAGAAGAAGAAGAAGAAGAAGAAGAAGATGATGACGAGCGGAGCAGTTTTTCCCCCCCCCCTTACCTGTCGTTTATCTTGCGACCTATGGCTAACGAATGGAACAAAAAAAAAAGAAGAAAAAGAAGATAGTCGGAAGAGGAGGAGGAGGAGAGAAGAAGAAGAAGAAGAAGATGAAGATGAGAGGGGGACGAGCGATGGCAGACTCCACGACGCTGGCGACGGGCGACGGGCAACGGACGACTCCACGACGGCGGGCGAGTGCAGCTCCCAGGCGATGGCGACAACCGGCAGCGCGAGGAGCGAGGGTGGCTCAACGACGAACGCAGGCGGCTGGAGAAGGGGCCCCGTTTGGACAGCCAATGCAGCCCCCCCCCAGCCAGCCGATTGTTCAAACGGGGCCTTGGTTTTCCCTCCAAAAAACAAACGGCCTTCTGGCTGTCGATCATGGATGATTGACGGTTGGAGGGCCGTCAAAAAAAAAAAAAAAAATAGGCCTCATGGGCCCGACGCGCCGTTTTCTGGGCGTGGTCGGACCCGGTAGGCCCTGGGGAGGCCAAATCTTGGCGATTCGGGGTCGGAAACCCCCCGCCAACAAGGTGTGCTGGAGGTGCCCGGCCCCCAACCGGGCTGCCCGCCCGGCCAGGCCCCCTGGGACCTCCCCTGGGCAGGCGCTGGTCGGTCGGCCGCCCGCCCGCCCGGCCAGGCCCCTCGGGACCTCCCCTACTCAGAAATGAATTAAATTCGTTTTAAATCTATTGCGAGGCTCAAGGCCTCAACGAGCCCTATTGGCCCCTGTTATCAGCAGTATCGGCCACCCTAAGTGAAGGCAAGCGCGATCAAGGACGAGAGGCCTATTTTTCGGCTGCGACGCAACTGGGGGAAATTCAGGCAGTTGTGCAGCGCCAGTTGGTTGAGAGCGCCCAGGCCTTGGCTGCCTTTTTCGTATGTGACTCAGGCAGGCCCTGGGCCAGATACGCAACATGGATCGAACACAGGCTGCGGGCAGTTGAACATGGGTAACCGCCATAGGCCCTGGGCTCGGAAGCCCCTGGACAGGGGCTCAGTGCAGCCAGGCCGCACGTAGCAGCTTGGCCACTTCCATTTAGGAAAGGCAGGCTTTGGGCCAGATACGCAATATGGACCGAACACAAGCTGCAGGCAGTTGAACATGGGTAACCGCCATAGGCCCTGGGCTCAACCACTTGGGCCCTACCGGAAGCTTCTGGGCAGGGGCTCAGCGCAGCCAGGCCGCCGACCCTCGCATTCGACATTCGGGCACTTGCTACATGCTGTGCAAGCGCTGCTGTGTTGCTGGCAGGCAAGCACCCACGCGCTCACGGGCGAGCACGGGATGCGCAGGCAGCCATAACGGAGCTGGCCTGCACGGGTGCTGGATGGGGCACATGGTGGTCCTTGGGTGCACGTGGCATCTGTGAGTGGGGGATCGAGTTTGTGAGTGATGCGAGAGACTTACCTGGTGCTTGAGGCGAACGACATTGGTCGAGATCTGCTCGTACTTCGGGGAGCTGTTGACGTCACCAGCAGCGTTGTAGATAGGCTAGATAGCATCTGCCATTGGTAGTCTGGGTGCAGGGCGCCAGATAGGAGATCGACATTGTTTGTTTGTTGATGATGATGAGACCATTCCAACATTGTCACTTGTGAGCTATTGTTGTGTTCTTATTTGGTAGAACCCGAGTTGCGATTCTGCTTTTGGTTCGAGGTCACGACTATGTGGTTTCATGTGTATGATGCTGCTTGGTTTGTGGAATTGGCTATCGCTCATTTTCCTTGCACTATTTAAAATTATTTAAATTCGTTTTAAATCCATTTATAATTTATTAAACTATTTCAAATTAATTAACTTTGTGTAAATTCGTTTTTAAATCTATTTAAAATTAAACTCGTTGAAATTAATTTAATGTGTTTTAAATCCATTTGAAAATTAATTAAATTTGTTGCAAATCCATTTAAATTAATTCAATTTGTTTCAAATTCATATAAAACTACATTAAATATTTTGATTGCATTTAAATTCATTAAAATAACCTTAAATCCATTCGAACTAAATAGAAATTTCACTTTTTTAAATTAAGTAATTTTGGAAATTTCAAACTCCGATTTCAATTAATTCCCTCATAATTCTTTTTCCCTTTAAAAATGCATTAAAATTTTAATTTAATACCAAAAAAACAGGTAGAATTCACACATTTTTTTCCCTTTCATGCTCCGCCACACTAAGAACTCTTTGCGTGCTGCCTTCTGCGCCGTTGAGGACGCCGCTGCAGCTGCCGCCTCCACCGCTACTACTTCCTCGCCCCTGGGCTCCCTCCACAATTGTGGATGGTTCCTCAACCATCAACATGAGCGCCATTGACACTGCTTTTGTAGACAACTTGCTTTGTGACTTCCCGACTGAACAACCTGCACCTTAAGACACCCCCACCAACATCTCCCTATTCACCATGTTGCAATCCATGCAAGACACCTTCCGCGCCCTCCAATCCTCCTTCGCCACCCCCATCTCCAACCTCTCCAGCCGGATAGATAACATGGCAGAAACATTGACCCCTTTTATCCAAGTGGTCACTACCACGAATCCCCCTTCCATGTCGGGTTCTAGTCTGCCCCCTTGTCCTCCTCTCCTCACTCCCACTCCCACCTCCACCTCTTCTGCCTCCACTTCCACCGCCGGTCCATCCGCCAGTCCCACCTCCACCGCTTCTATCTCAACTTCCACCGCTGGTCCATCTGCCACCCTTGCCTCTACCACCCACATCCCAACGGCCACTAGCGGCGTGTCCCACCCACCTCCTCCTTCCTCCACCCCTCTCAGTGCCCAATTGCTGCACCATTCCCTGGGCACCCAATCCGTACCCACACCTCCCCTCTCACAACCCATCTCTACCTCATCCATCGTCACCTCCCTCCGGATACCCACCTGCTCCCAGGTCACCGCCATGTCACACCCTGCTCTCCCCCAACATCCCCTGAATGCCCTCCTCCTAGCAAATATTTAACATGACTTCACCCGTCTCGTTGACGCCTCACCCACCCGCGACTTCAACACACTCGTTATACCCACGTCCCTGATTATGGCAAATTCCCTCGCACATTTTGGGCCCACGACATTCCAACCTTTTCTGGTAACCCCAATGAGGATGCCTCTTTCTTTCTCAGCCAACTCCAACACGCTTTCTACCTTCACACCGTCCCCGTCATCCACTGGCTACCCATAGGCGGTACACGACTCCTTGCCAATCCCACCCGGTGGTGGCTTACCAAAGTAGCCAACTGCCAACTCAGCGTTCAGCCCTCGCAGTCCTTCCTCGAGTGCGCTACGCTGTTCACAACCACCTTACACCCACAAAAGACCGTCGGTTATTACATCGACCAATTCTTTCGCCTTCGCCAAAATGGTCCCACCGACCTCTATGTCCAATTGCGCACTACAAGAGCATATGTCGTCCACTTGATCGTCGATGACACTTTCATCTCCCGCCTCAAGCTGGTCTCCAACCATCACCGCAATCCTCGTCCATGAGGCCACCACAACCTTATCCGATCTTCTCTCCCACATTCTCCAAATCGACAGTCTCCTTTCAACTCACAAGGCCGCCATCCCCTCCGTCCCTTTTTGAACACGTTTCTTCCACAACATTGCTTTCGAGAACACACTCACCACCACGATGTCGGATGAGTTCTCCATACCCGACCTCGACACCGAGTCCACTTCTACCGACCCCCCATCTTTCACCCATGAAGAAGTCAACACCATCCATCTCCTCAGGATGGAGCACGGGAACCGCCAAGGTCGCGCATCTTCTTCCACCTTGGCCCCTCGCTTAACGAAGCTCACCCTGGAGGAATGTGCCGACCTCCAAACCAACGATGGCTGTTTTCGGTGTCGTCAGTTGGGCCACCAGCAAACCAGCTGGCCCAACGCTAGCTACTTCACTCGACAAACTCCTCGCTCCACGGGACCTCGGCCCGTCGTATCCACCCCCTCACCATCCGCGACGTCGGGACCCTCCCACACATGAACACCGTCCCTTTGCCTCTTGCCACCTCGCGCCGGCATTTGACAAATAGTCAACCGACCCCCTCTATTGGCATCGACGATCCGTTTACCACCCCCACGTCCGGTGATGCATACCCCGTCAGATGACACTTAGGCGTCGCAGTTTACTCTGCCTGCCCCCTTTCATGACGATGTCTCTCACCCCGTCAGTCGAGCTTATCACAGGCATGTGTTCCTCTACCCTTCTCCCTAGTCCCTCTCACATCACCTACTCGGATGTTGTTGAGGAACAAGCCCGACACAACCGACTTGTTGGACTAGCACCGAACAGCGCCGCCTCAACAACATGATCTTCGTCGCCTGTGTTAGAACCGTCCAGTTCCAGCTCAAGTTCATAACCATCTCCCTCGACATCGAGAGTGAAGTTTCGGGCCCTCCTCGATGGTGAGGCTAACGACAACTTCATTATCGACGCCTGTATCCGCAAAGTCAGTCTCCCGTCAACCGGCTACGACTCCTCAATCGCCATTCGCTTAGGGGACAAGGACTCAGGCGCCATCGTCGATTGCGCAGTTTGCGAGGTCATGATGATTAAGGGCTCCCTCCGCTCAGATCTCCTTCGGCGTCATGCACCTCATGTGCGACGTTGTCCTGGGAACTATGTGGATTATCGCTACATGCCCTATTCTTTCTACCCCTCTTTCGTTCGCCTCTCTTCTATATCCTTGACATCCCTTACATTCTTCCCCCTACCACCCCACCCCCCATCTCCCCTCGCCAATTCCGCCACATGTCTCGCCAACACCCTGACTCCACCTACTATTGCCTCGTCATTGATTGCGAGCGTTTTGAGGACTTGATTCCAACGGACAAACCCGATCAAGCCCCCCAATCCGACCTTCGCGTCACCTCTCTCCTCTTAGAATTCAAGGACGTCTTCCTCGAGTTCTTGCCTGCTGGCTTGCCACTTGATCGCGATATATCTCACACCAACCCGACCATTCCCCTTCTTGCCGCCCCCCGTACCAATTCTCCGTCCCCGAGGCCGAAGAGATGATGTGCCAATATAATGAGGTCCCTCAAAAAGGATTCATTAAGCCTAGCTCATCCCCCTTCGAAACCACCTGCCTCTTCGTCAAAAAGGGCGGCACCTCGGAGCTTCGCATGTGCACAGACTACCGTGCCTTGACTCCCTTGGATGTCTGAACTTCTTGATTGCCTCCATTGAGCCAAATGCGTCATCAAGATTGACCTCCGTAGCGGCTTCCCCTAGATCCGTATTCGTTAGGAAGATACCCATAAGACTGCCTTCCGCTCTCGCTTCGGGCATTACAACTTCCTACTGATGCCTTTCGGCCTCACAAATGCCCCATCGACCTTCCAGTCCACCGTGAACCACATCTTCTGCGATCTCCTTGAGGTCTGTGTCGTGAATTACCTCGATGACATCCTCGTCTTCAATCCCACCTTCGAGTCCCACCTTCAGCACATCAAGAACGTACTTTCCATCTTCCGGGAGCAAAAGTTCTACGCTAAGCTTAGCAAATGCGCTTTTGTCGCCTGCATCGTGGACTACATTGGGTACATTGTCTCTGCTGACGGTATCCGCATGGACCCCTCGAAGGTGGCCGCTCTCGTCGAGTTCCCACCTCCCACCACCTTGCTTCAACTTCGGTCATTCATTGGACTCGCTAACTACTACCGCCCCTTCATCCAAAACTTCTTTGACACCGCCTATACACTCCATGAGCTCATCCGCGCCACCGAATCCTTCACATGGATCGAACGCTGCTAAGCCACCTTCGACAAACTCAAACACCTCATCACTAGTGCCCTTGTTCTCAAGATCGTCCACCCTTTTGCCACTTCTACGTCACCCTCGATGCTTCGGACTTTGCCTTTGGTGTTGTTCTATCCCAGCATTTCCCTCGCGACCCCCCCTTTATCAAAGAGTCCCCCATGCGATCGGAAGCATTTCTCGACGAGTACCCTATCGAATTCGCGAAGCTCATCGGTGTTGAGATGAACTATCCCTCCAATGGGAAGGAACTCCTCGTCGTCATATATGTCCTTAAAGTTTGGCGCCCTTACCTCGATGCCCAACACTGACAACACCGTCGTCTCCGGTATCCTCACCAAAAAAGGTATCACCCATCGTTAGGCCCGCTGGCTGGACTTTCTCGCCCTGTTTACCTTCACGTTGCCGATGCCCTCTTTTGAAGACCCGATCATAAGCCCCCTGAGAAAGTCTTTGCTGCCATGACGCATGTCAACCTCCTCCAATCTCTCCAACATCGCTTCATCCATGGCTACACCTCCTGCCCCGACTTCGCCCCTACCTACTCCAAACTCCGCAACCTTGACACTGTCTTGACTACTCCCTCGTCAACCATCTCCTATACATCAACACCGAAGGAACTCGTCGCCTTTGCATCCGTTCCGTTCGTGGTCTCTGTACCCAGTTCTTGGTTGAACTCCACTACGCCAAGACTGCTGGACACCTCGGTTTCCAGAAAACCTTTGATTGGACCTCTGGTTACCTCTACCGGCCCTGGCTCCTCGTAGACGTCAAAACCCACATCCGCTCTTGCCCTACTTGCCAAGCCGTCAATCCCTCCAACCAAGCTAAGGTTGGCAAACTCTATTCTCTCCCCAGTGACCAGCTCCTCTCCGTTGCTGAGATTACCTACAGCGTTGCCCTACAACAACGTTGTTTGCCCCTCCACAGGCATGCCTCCTTTCACCCTCGACCTACCATCCTCGCTTGCCCTCCGATTTCTTGCTCCCCTCGCAGCTCAACCCACCTACTCCATGTCCCTCTCTCAATGAATGGGTTGCCACGATGAACCGCCTCCTAAGAGAAGCCACCAAATCTATTCAACGAACCCAGGAACAAGCCAGACAAATGAACAAACATCACTGTGACGTCATTTTCCATGTTGGGGACAAAGTCTGGCTTCCCGCCAAACGCTTTGATCCCGAACAAGGCTTGCCCAAGAAGCTCTTAAACAGGTGGCTCGGTCCATTCCCCATCATTGAAAAAACATCCGCTGTAAACTACAAGCTCCAACTCCCTCCTGACATGAACTGCGTCCATCCTATGTTCCATGTAGAATACTTAAAAGAATTTCAGGAATCCCCTCCTCTGTTCTCTGATCGCCCTCATCCTCGTCCAGCACCTATCATGCTTCCCACCGGTCCTGAATTCTTCGTGGAATCAATCATCGTCCGTCAAACAACTCAAGTATCCAACCACCCCAAGCCTATCACAGAATACAAAATAAAATGGATAGGATACCCAGACGAAGAATCAACATGGGAACCCCTTGCAAGTCTAAAGAACACCATGAAACTCGTTTGTGCCTACTATCATACCCACCCTGTCTCAAAGCTATCTACTTGCCTATGCCTCGACTTGTACATACCTACTCTATACACCACCCCTGAACCCAGCCTAACTCCTACCCTTGATCTTGATCTCTCGCTGTTTGATTCGCCTTTGCCTCAGCCTAGTCCTTCCCATTTGTCCTCTACCACACTCTTTGTCTCTCTTGACCAATGGTTGTGGCCTTGCGTGACGCCGACGATAAAGGATGTAATGGCAAGCGCACAAGGACGATGACCTGGTGCCTCATGATCATGGAGATAATGCAGCTGGTTTGGCCACCATGCTGTTTACGTGGTCGACATCTGGACTCGCGGACTTACTGGAGTAGCGACATGTGATCTGGACCTTTGCATCAGTCTGCAATGTCCTTGCTACTGGATCAGACCTCCTTGCAGTTCATGAACCGGACGCACTCCAACACTTGGACTTGGGACACTTGTACTCCTACGTCGCTTTCCCGCAGCCTGGACATTCGACAACTACCTGTGGCAGCCGCTGAAGACCGGTTCTCTCACCATCCTGGATCTGATCAAGACCTTCGAAGATCTTCGTCAAGACATTTTTCGCATTTTGACTTTTTGTTATAGACCTGAGACTTTGTTTTCCCCAGATTCCTCAGACGATCCAACCCTTGAGCATTGAACAAACTATTTTTATTTTCCTTTTGTCAAACCTGACAACCTATGACGTTGTAGACCATTAATAGGACTGCCTTGTTCCTTGTAGAACCTCAATAGGATAACCGTGTTACTTGAACATTGCTACCCTCAACCTTGTATAACCTCAGTAGGATTACCCTGTTACTTTAGCATTGATTCCCTCATCCCCGTAGAGCATCAATAGTATTGCCCTGTTACCTGTTACTTCAACCTTGTAGCACCTAAACTACCCTGTTACCTGAACATTGATACCTTCACACGTGCAGAACATCAGTAAGATTACCATATTACTTGCATTACTCCCCCTTTCCTTTTCTGACCAGTGATCGGCCCAGTCCCGTCCTTCACTGTTCTTTATCAGGTCTTTGGCAGTCGGGACGTTGCCTTCCAGACGGAGGGGATAGTGCTACGGACTCAGCTAGGGCTCGATCCCTGGTCCGCGGGTTACCAAGGAAAGGTACTCCTTTCGACACCACCCGCCAGGCTGCTATTTCACTTTTGGGTCTCTGTTGTGAGGCCCCTTACTGTTGGCGCGCTCTGCAGTTGGCGCCCGTTTTCAAATTCCTCTTTTGGCACGTCCAGATTTCGATACTTCGCGCCATCCGACATCCAGACTTAGACCTTCGATT